AAAAAAAAAAAAAAAAAAAAAAAAAAACACATCATAGTAAAATTAATACCTTTTCAGCTTTGCATCGAAGCTAAAAAACAAATATTTTCTCACCATGAATCACGATCTACGCGCGTTATTATCATACATGATTGATTGATCACTAACTAAATGGTAGGCCAATATAGTTGTAATCATACTATAATTACTATAGTTAATTTATAACAGTTAGATTTTGATATATTATCATAATTTACTTTATCCAGATTGTTTTCTTTACTAAAATGAAATGGTTTTTGATTGTAATTAATAACCAAATCCTGTACTATCTATTAATTACATTTAATATACCAATTAAACAAAGAAATGGTGTACAACAAAATTATTTAAGTTTTTCAGGTAAATCATAAAAATTCTAATAAATATGTATTAATTAACACATAGTGTATATTAAAATTATGGAAGGTTATATTTAATTAATTACTGTTATTACACAAGTATTAATTTTAATCAGATTTTGTAAAAAAAATAGTTAGCATTGACACTTAAACTTCATGTAAAAATAGGCCATGTCCAAAAAATAATTCAAAGATATAATTATAAAAACATTTAAATTTAATTGATTATATTACACGTTTCCATTTTCAAATATTTCAAATATCATATAATTGATAAAAATTAATTTTCAATTAGGAGAATTTCCTCAAAATAATCCTTTTTTTTATGAGACTCCTAATGTTATTTTAAATTTATAAAGAGTCATTACATATACTCAAAAAAATAGATAAAAAAAAATTAATTAATTATTTTTAACAATATTTTTTGCAAATAATTTTTAATAAAATAAAATACTCCAATATTTTTAGTAAAGAGAAAGTGTAACGATGTGAGTTGGGTTTTAACTTGCTTAACAATAAGGTTGATTATTCAGAGTTGTAAGTTTAATTCCATTTATTATGCTCCCAACCAACATTTTATATTTATATTTAGAAATAAAACTATAGTTCTTGCTCTCCAATCAAAAAATTGTTAAATTTGAAATAGTTAGGTTTTCTTCAGAACATAATTAAAATTTAATCAGATTTGAAATGAATATAAGGAAATAAGAGTCTAATTTTATTAAATAATATCTTTTAGAATAAAATTTAAAGTTTCTTCGTTTTAAAATTATTATGTTGAGTGTATCCTTTGAGCGGTTATATTATTTAATATTTTTTAGGTATACAATTTTTTGAAGAGTGGATCAATAAGCGACTATCGTAAGGGCTAAAACGCTAAAAATCTTTGATATAATAACTCATGTTCTAAAACTCTTGAGAAGAACAGCAACGATCAAATGAAAGAAAACTTGAGAAGAGGGAAAGTAGAATAGAAGGCAACAAGTGTTGCTCAGTGAGGTAGAGGGGAAAGTCGATACTACGTACAACTTTTTTTTTTTGCGTTCTTATATTTTAAAATAAAAGCACTTCCATTTTTTCGTGCGTGCCCTTAAGGGTAAACAATATATTTTTACGAACGCCAAGTATAAAATGGAAAGTGTGAAATGTCAGAATACAATTAATTCTATGAAACTTTTATTTTTATCAAAATGATTGACGCTATGATAGTTTCTTAATTTCTCTAAATTTTACATTGAAAACTTCAAAAAACAAGTATAAATCAATAATCATTACACTTTTAAAATTTTAATTAAATATTTTTCAATACAAAAAAAAAAAAATAAATAAATAAACAATATCAACATTTTTAATTCTACTATGTTTTTAAAGCTATTTCATTTATTAAAACAAATTATACCTATACATTTTTCTAAAACATTTGTTTTTTTTTTTTTGTGAAATTTTATAATATTTTAGTTTGAGTTTTTAACCTTTAATAACACAAAAACATGATGTATAGTCTAAATTACACAAAATAAGGTTGCCTTATCATTAGTTTAATACAAACATAATTTTAACACTTCAAATAGGCCACTAAATATTAAAGTCCTTTTATTCAACTTTGTTTTACCTACACCTTGTTGCGTACTTGTTATTTAGATCAATTTAAAAATGCATTAATTTTTCATTTTCTTAAGAGTTTTATACATAAAATAAGCCCGTATATTATTAAATGTACTTCATAAACTTCATTAATAAACGGCTTATATTTATATTAAAACAATTTTACTCGTAAATATTTTTGAAAACTAATAAACAAAACTTTCTTAAATTTTTTATATTAAGAAAAACTTGTTTTTTCGTTTATTTTATTCACTTTGTCTTGATCAGCACTATTAATTTTATAAGTGACCCTTTTCTTATATTGATTTTAGAAACAGCATATATAAGGGGAACTTTTAATTAAACCATGTTTTTAAATGGCAAATATCGAATAAAATTGTTTTATTTAGCTTTGTAATCTTAAATAATCTATAAAAATATCGTTGATCGAAAAAAACCGACGATAAATTAAAGTTCAACATGTTTAAATAATAAATAAGTGAGCAATTTGTTTGATTTGTTATTACTATTTTTAATTTTATGAACATATATTCTATACAAGTGGTATTTCTATTGATGTGCAACGACTTCGTGATAAATGTTATTTTTACGTATCATGTAGAGAAAGTTAAAATATGTACTGTACGTGATATTATTTTGATTTAAGTAATTTCATAAAAACAACTTCAAACTATGAATAAAATTACGAGATAACACATAATATTAAAAACTATAACGTATAAGATGTTAGTTTTAAAAATTAAACAGACTAGTTATATTTTAATCATCGTCGTTGAAACTCAAACAAATTTAGAGCTACAAATTTTCCAACTCACTACCAAATATTTGTTATACAAATAGTAATTAATTAGTATTTCTGGTTTTAATTTTGATATAGCGTGGTTAACAAATGTAATTGTAATCATGCTAATTTTCATCTGCATTGCTCTGGAAAACCTTTTAATCTGTTCAATTTATAAGTAAATGTATATTTTAACTACTTTCTCCGGTAATACTTTTAAGTACCAATATGCATCTAGCTAAAGTTATCATTTAGACGATCTACTAGAATTATTATTCCATTACACAATTAATAATAGTTATGTTCTACTTCGGAAATTCAATTTCAACATAGACCGTAGTATGAACTGAAGTAATGATAATAGTATTCAATCGAGTAACATATGGTCGTATTCTGACAGTGGGAGTAATAAGACTATTTTTCTTCGGTTATACCATTTATCATATGAAGTTATGTACAGACTCATTTTTATGAGTTATTTTTTTGGAAATACATTAGAAAAAAGACAAATAGTTTTTCTGAAAATAATTGGTTAAATAAGGATTTAAAGGTTAGTATTGCTGGTGATCGAACTAAGCGAAATTCTGAAAACATGTAAATGAGAATCAAGTATTTTTACTTTTAGAAAAATAATAAAAATAAATTATGCGCAGATTTTAAGGAAAAAACTGTTTGAATACTTGCATAATTCTAAATATATTTCGATTGATCTATCAACCATGTAAAAAATACCATTACCTCCAAAAATAAATTAGTACGTTTGTATTCTGTTTTTTTTTTAAGTTCTAAAAATAAATAAAAATTACCATTAAATAAAGTACAAATGTAAAATTAAACTACATACATATTATATAGTATATAAATATTATTAAATGTAAGTGGATGTTTGTTTGCATTGAAACAAATTATGATAATCGAAAAAACAAATGAGTAAATAACCATGGATATTAAGCGATATTAACCCTCTTAGAAGTTCTATTCATTCAAAATTAAGTATTCAGATAAGTATCATAAAAAGGTATTGTTTTATTTGTTTGCTAATCGCTAAACAACACAATATAAATATCATTGATGGGAATTCAAATTCAAAAGTTGATTATTTTTTCAATAATTTCATATTTATACTCTTAATTTAATAAATACAAATACAAAGAATATTGTTAATCAAATTGTAATCAAAGGTTTTTGGTTATATTAGTTTCTACACGCTGTCTTAGAAGAAATAACCTTTAAATACTAAAAACCAATAAAGTATTTAATTTTAAATATAATAATAGTATGTTTGGTGAGATATTTGTTGGGGTTAAAACAATATTACTATGTAATTGTCAGTACGCACTGTATCAATATTCAAAATTAATACTAAAAAATAAACTACTCAAAAATAATAAGCAAAGAAACAATGAAATTATTTACACGAAGTCTATCGACTGTCTTTAATCATTAACATAACGCATAAATGTTTATCACCATAAAAGAGGTAAACAACATTTTATTAAGTTAAATAAAATAATTATTAAATATAAATATATTATAAACTCGATGATAAAAATCTTATTTTCACTCAAGTATTTCTTTGCAATTGTAAGTTGTTTGCGTAAGCCTATTTATCGTAAGACTTCTAATTATCAGACTCTTCCGGGCGTAGATAAAGGTGGACTGACTCGATGAGGATTTGTTTGTTGATGAAACTCGCATAATATATTTTTGTTAGGAAAGAATTTTTCACTGTTTCACTGCATACAACAATGCTGTTTAACTGGCCTATAAATATTTAAATGTACTTAATGTATTACAGTAGAAGGAATATTTCAACACCATCTACAATCCGAAATTGAATTCAGATTCACATACTTTAGGCGGCTTAAAATTCAATGCAAGACTATCTTCAGCATCAAAATAATCGTGTTTATTTCACGTCTTTACTTATACATAATTAATAGTATGGAAATTTCTGAGGTTGCAATAGCAAATGTCGAGAGAACGATACGCTTGACCTATCCCAGAGTCCTAAACTACACTATTATACGCCGACTAATGTGATTAGGCGACCGAAAGCCGTTATGATATGATAGTATCGTTTTACGTTTTGTATAGAAGTAATTAGTGAAAAGGAACAATGCGCAACAGATACACATAATTTTAACACCATAATGACCCTCGACCTCGCCACGGTCGGTCATGCGACAGATTTAACGATAATCCCATTTTGTTTGTGTTTGCCTGAATTTGTCACCCTACCATGATTTGGTCGTTTTTAGCAGTGTTGATTTATTATTGTTTGCCATTTTACTTTTTATGCGTTGAGGACATTCTAATACAACGTCAGAATCCTCCGGAAACTCCAAGTCCCGATTATCCTCGGTGCATGGTCTGATGCCGACATTCAAGGGCGATGACGACGAGCACCTAGAGCTGGAATGAAGCTGAAAACATCACTATCGTTTTCCACATACCCAACGGTCAGTACGATTTTTGAGTTTATGCCGAGGAAAACTCTGACAAAACATCTTTAGACAATCCAAAAACGCAGAAAAGTCTTAAGGTAAGTAACTATTGATTAAAGATTTTTTTGTGCTTGCATCGTTATTTGTTTATTATAACTCTTTTTGGGGTACTTAAATTTGTAAATTAATTATAAAAACATTAACTAATTTATTGTAATACGTTTAAAATCTTATTATTAATGTTATAATTAGATTTGACTCTCAGGTACAGTTTTTACCTAAAAATAATTTTCAGCCAGCTTATTTTCATTTTCGAAGTTTTTTCACTAAAAGACGGGAAATTAAAAAAGTGCGGTGGAAAAAATCGCATAAATCAAAATAAGCGCATTAGTATTATTATTTTCTCTCATCATTTTTTAAGAATTCACTTTTAATAACTTCTCAAAAATAGCTCTTAAGTTTTATAGNTAAAAGACGGGAAATTAAAAAAGTGCGGTGGAAAAAATCGCATAAATCAAAATAAGCGCATTAGTACACCTTATTTTCTCTCATCATTTTTTAAGAATTCACTTTTAATAACTTCTCAAAAATAGCTGTTAAGTTTTATAGAACTATATTTAAATCTTTATAGTTAAAAAAATATCTATAATTTAGCTAAAATCATTTTTTAAAAGTTTATTAAAAAATATATCTGTATGATAATGATCAAGAACATAAATTATAATGACTATTTTATTAAATGTTAATTAAATCATTATTATATAATATTAATTTTTGAAACGTAATCGTACTATAATTTCATTTATAAAATCACTGTCTTAATAGAAATCATTGAGTCAGATACAAAATTTAAATTTGAAATTTGAATCAATAAAAGTAAATAGCTATTCAAATAAAGAATAAGTATTTCGATGAATTAATGAACAATATAAGATTAGCTTAAATGAACCAAAAATAAAATAGATATTTTTCTCAAATTGTGAAATATTATAATTATATTGATTATTAACACTCGCATGTTGATGATTAATTATCACGAACGAATTAAAAATTAATTTAATTGACCGTAAAAGGATTTATATTGTAAATGTTTTCTTAACTTATATTGTTTCGAATAGGTCGTGTGTAAAATGTACGATACAGTGTATGCAATATATACAAATAAAAAGTTCTATTAAAAATAAATAAATTATGAATTTGATTTTTAGTAGACAAATAATAATTGAATTTCAGGCTGGTTAAGATTAATTATAACTCGATAATTTTACAATAGAAATTTTTGAATTTTAATAATTACAATATTTTGTATGAAATAAATTGGAAAAATAGATTAAAATATTTTTTAATCTATTTTTCCAATTTATTAATGTGTTTTACATTTCTAAAAATTATATTGTAAACAACAGAATAACATTTTTTTTCGAGTAATATTAAAGAATAATTGAAATAAGAACAACTCTTATTCAATGATTCCTGTTTTTATAATCATGACACACATTCCATGACGTTGCTTAAAGTGACGTGAAAATTTATGCGATATCCCAAGAGCTATTTCATGTACGAGGGTAGTGTTTTAGCAATCTTCCATCTACCATTTTATCCCTTATTCTCTCACCCAATATCCATAATAAATTAGTTTCGTTTTAATATTTTTATTTTCCTCATTTTTTTCAATGATAATAATAAAGTATATTAATAGAAAATTAAAAATTGAAAGATAAAATAAGTAAATTAATTTTAAGTAAGATATGATATTTTATGTAAATAATAATTTTAAATTTTATGGCATCTTTTTTATTCTGGACTATATATGTATATTTCCTATTTAATAAATTATTCATTTACACAAAATGATTTATTACATTCAGTTAGAAGAGTAGGTAACAGTTAATTATTACCTCCAAAAATTCTATTTTTTCCAAGGACAATGTATATTGCATTACATATAAGTAGATTTTGTCATCTTCATGGTTTTGCTATTCAAACACTATTACAAGGACTCCGTCATGCATTAAACACAGATTTATATTAAAAATAACTGACCACGATTTCTTTAAGCAATATTAGTATAAGATCTATATCAATATAAAGTATTTTCGAGCAAAAAATAAATGCTATCGCAAAGAAAAAGTGTCATACCTTTATCTAAGAATAACACTGACCTCTGTAATTTAAAGTATCTAATGAATTCCGTATTATAAAATTATGTTAATATATTATTTAATTTTATTCTTCTGTTGGTAATATTATTAAATGTATGATGTAAACAAATATATTGTAGTCTGATTTATTAAATATACTGTCCCCCAATTTTTCATTAATATGTAAGTTATTCCTATTTATCAATTTTATTGTAACAAAAAATTATATCTAATGGTAAATTTTAGGATTAACTTTCAAAAGTAAATGGTATTAATTTTTATTAATATCAATATTAATCAATATTAATATTTTATTGATCGATAACCACTTTTGTATTATTACTTTTTGAGTTAATGTAATTATAGTTATATACAAACAGGATGTGCAACATAGAAGATTTCTAATCTGCGTGTTATGGTAAAAATAAACACTAACCCTTTCCTCATCTTTTCTAAATCTTTAAGTACTAAATCCTTATCTCTAAAAGTAAAAATATAAAGTTGGTTATTGATAAATAAAAATTTAATATAGACGATTTTCCATTTAATTGTGAAAAAATAATATATTACCATTTAACTTTAGCAAGATTTTAATCAGTAATTTTATTATAATTTATGAAATAATTTTTGGAGTAAATTAATAAATACAAGATAATGCTAGAACTTAAGACGGTGGACAGTCTAATAACGTCAGAGATATTTATATTAACTCTCTGTGAAGACCGAACTGTCAATTAGAGCGTTTTTTTCTTTAACACTTAATATTCATAATAATTATTTTAAATTAATAAACTAATCAATTATAAATATTTATTATTTGACTTGTGGTATATTTTATACATGCATTATTTTCATAATTTTTTAATGGACCAATCAAAAAAATATAAATGCTTTTATATTTTCAACATTGAACATTCTATAAAGCAAGGTTGAAGCCATAACATTGATAATTATTTTTTTTTAAACAATATGTTAAATTAATCATTTAAAAACATGCAAAGAACTTTGATGCTTGTCCAGTAAAGTAAGTCCTTTATGTCAAAGCTAGGTCACGCGCATTGTGAAACTATCAAAGAATAATTTAAATTCTTCAACTAGTCATATGACTAGACTTAGAAAAAGTTCTAAAAACGAGCTTATTTATCAACCATCATGCGTCGTGCGGTTAATCGCTATCAAATAAACTGATAATAATATTTATTTTTTTTTTTTAAAGAAAAGAATATGTAAAGTGAATAAAACCCATCAATTAGTGTATTGTTACCTTTTTATATTATAAATAATAATACTTAGTATGCGACAAAATGTATGAGCAATAATAAAAGTGGAATGAAAGTAATAAGAATCATAAAACAGCATTTCGACATCTATGTTTTGGCATTTTTTAATACTTAAAATAAGTAGAGTAAAAAGGCAATAATAAAAGGTGAGAGTAAAATTATTTATGAAGAAACTTTTGAGAAGTATTGACGTACCTAGTCTTCTAATTCTGAAAAGAAGATAATGCAACTGAAGTATAGCTGAGGATTCCATATATATTTTAGAATAATACCTTTTGAGCTGTTTGACAATTCCTTCTATTCTGTACAATGTATGAAACTTTGGCAAAAAAAACATAATTATACATTAAAAAGTAGTACATTATGATTTTTATTGTAAATAATCGACGAAGAAACTATTATGTACATTTTTATCATTACTTTTAAATTAAAAATAATTCTTATTCACTTTATAATTTAATAGTATGAGAAACTTAAATTTTAATTAATATTGAAATAAAAATTATATTTTTTAAACAGTACTGGTTACTTAGAATAATTTTTCAGATTTGAATCTAAGTTATGTTAGAGCTCGTAAATTATGAATGTCATTCGATCATTAGAGTTACTTTTAAGTTGTATTTTTAATATTGATAGCTTGAATTCAACATATAATGTATGTGTTGTGTAATTTATAATGGGAATATCGCATAAATCATTCTGCACGCGGGAATCATTTGTAGAATATTTAAGCACATACTAATACATTTATACACATGTATTTGGTAATACCATAGATGTTCGTATAGATTTTTCATTTTGTTTAAATAAATATTGGTCAGCACTTGTTTTGTTACATTAAAATAAAAAATCCTAATGAAACAGCCATCAAGGTGAGAGAAATTTTGTACCGTAACGTTAATAAATTAATTAATTTAAAAAAAATGATCTCTAACAGAAAACTGTTTTTGAACTATTTATAAGAATAATGAATTTAGTAAACAAATGTTGTTACATACTAATTTAAAAATAGTTTTTAACTAAAATTTTAAAGATTCTTGGCTATCAGTTTAAAGAAACTTAAAATTAGTCCAGAAAATATATAATTCAATAGAAAACAGTATGGTATGTTTATAAAAAAAAGGATAAATTTAAGGAAAAATTCCCTAGCTTTTTTACATGTAGTATGCGAATTATGCGAAGAGTTTAATTTTGTACAAACAGCATTGCTAGTTTCAAGAATGCGTACGACATAAAGACTTAAAACTATGCACTTTAATATGCTTACTATCATGTTAAACCTTATCTAGAAATATCAAAACTACTATGTTAAACAGTTCAGTGGAATCTTTAAGTATTTGCAAACAGTAATGTGCTAAAATTCAAACTCAGTTAATATAATAAATGGTATTCACAATTTTCCTAAGTGAAAAATATATGATGGTAATTCATTACTAGGGTAAATTGAATGTACATTAGGAAAGAAGATAATATTAAAATATAAGTTTATCTTCATTATTCATACAATACTAATACTGACTCATGAAATAAGTTTTTACATACATTTACTATATAAATATTAAATGCGTTCTTAGAAATTATAAATTAAAATTAAAAAGTTAAATACAGTCATTGGTGAGAAAAGTATTAGGGATTATAAAAATTATTAATACATGGAACACGTTTTTTATAAATATTGTAAAAAAAAAAATGTCGGGATAAAGGACGTATTTATTTTAAATTAATCATTAATATTAAGTTAGAAAAATATTTTTAAAATTCATCATTATTTAGAAGTACAAAGGTGGCAACATTTTTAAGTATAATATTTCTTATAAAGCATAAAATGCTTTATTTTTCCATATTATGGAAATAAATTTATTTTTAATAAATATTAATTTAAATCTAAAGCCCCAAATGTTGTTCAAATTACACATATTCATAAAATCGAAGCCTATTGAGCATAATTATCTCTTTTTTATTAGTTATACAAATGTATAATATTTCAAATATATCTATTAAATTACAGACTTTTGGTCAATTGAAACATAAAACAAAAAAATTCAAACACGATGTGGATTAGATTAATAGCCGCGTTTGTCGTTTTGTTTCTTAATCCCGTTCTCTCAAATTCTGGCTTGTCGACCAATTCATTTAGCAATGAACTCCGAACCGGGTTCGCCAGACTCTTTCAAACGGGTATCGAACAACCACTATACAATCCCTTTATAATTTTGAACCCAGAAACTCAAAACAATTTAATAGGACAACTCCGACCAGGGCAGAATGGACCATCAAGCTCAACTGGTTTTATCGCACCGATTCCTCGACCTAGGTACGAGTTGCAGTATCAATCATGGATGATTCCTTATTTTTTTACATCCAATAGGTACCATCCGCCAAAACCAAAGAGATCGAATGACGTGTTGGTAATCGTTTTCAAGACAGCCAATTGTTCAACGAACGGAACAAGTCCAGATGACAGTGATGAAGTAAGATTATTCACGTAACCAATTAGGAAATCGAGCATGTTTAATCCTAACCACACTGTAATGATAAGTATACGTAGCTAGTTCATAAAACGATATAATATTTTAAAATCGTTCCAATCTATAAGGAAATTTAAATTTAATTTAAGTAAGTAAATCAGCTAAATGTATATTGAACATTTTGAAAATGATTAATGCATACAAATAATTGATTCATTTGATTAAACTTATTTAGCAAATTTAATAAATTTAAATTGAGATATCGCGAATCTTTAATAAGTTGTATAAAAAAGGTTTTTTTTATTACTTAAGGATTTTTTGATATTTAGGAATCTGGAAATCCTGATGATGATGCTGAAGAAGTTGATGTAGTCACAGGAGGTACGGATAATGGTAAGGAGCCATCTCGTTGTGTATGGGCTATTCTCTCGTGCTGTGCTCCAGCTAATAGTCCTGTTAGATATACATGTTTTGATGTATTAGGCTGTAGTAGTGCATTTTGGGAATCTAACCCATGCGTACCGCCCGTTATTAAGGTAGCACTAGAAGAGGCTGTTAAATATTATGGACCTATCACATCATTCAACCGAACTATGACATCGCCATCACCTGCTGGAGATCCTCCAACTGACACTGACAATATGCCCGTTGATATAAACACAAAGAGTGCTGAAAATTCTACAACTTTGCAACCATCCGCATCTTAATATTAAAATAATTATTATTTAAAACTAATGTTTGAGAACGATAGTGATTATTGGCGATTTAAATACATTCAAATATATTGAAAGAATTTAACAATATTACTATAAAATACACATTGTTAAAAAAATTTACTATTACCATAATATAATTATGGTAAACATTTCAAATTTCTAAATAAAAATAACGCATTGGAGAGATAATTCCATAAAATAAAATTTGTACAGCTAAGTACAATAATTAATTAAAAATAATCATAAAATATACTATTATTTAAAAAAAATTAAGTTTGTATTTAAGCTTTAAACTTAAATAATTTATTTTAATTTATAATATAATAAATAGTAATTGAAGGAGTAAGGCTTTCATTAAAGGTGTTAATTGATATTTTTTTCGAAAATCTATTTTTATGCGTGAATAGAAGTGCAATAAAAACATAATATTAATCATAATTTGGGTTTTTACTCATGGTTACGGAAATAATACATCGGTGAAGATATTTTTAATAGAATTACTATAAATATTTAAAATTGGCAATCCTGACTAGTTAAAAAAATGTCAGTCAATAACTTTATCCACTAACCCCTTTAAATATTTGATTCTTATAGTGATTTCTATCTAATTATTGAGATTTTAATTTTATAAAATGTTTTAAAATTAAAACCTAAGAATTTTTATGCCTCCTAATGGAGATATAATTATGTAGTTATTAAAATAAGTATATTTAAAAACCTAAGTAAATTATTATCGTGTGATAAGGTTCTTGTAAAAAATTATTAGCAATAAACGTAATTATAATATTATTTTTTCTAAATTAAAGTAAATCAACTACTATCCAATTGGTTTTGAAAATCAGATTTTCGAGTAAAATAAAATAACGTAACACAAAAACTGTAACTTAACACAAAAACATTTCAGCCAATTAAATTAAAGAAAAAAAATTAATTGTTCGATGATAAAATAAAGTTTTTATGTATTTCATTAGATATCGCCGAAAATTTCATGATTACTAAATGTTTTTTGGTTCTAATTTAAACATTTATTGATTTATATAAATTTTATTAATAATTAACGCTATGATTTAACTATTAATAAAAAAAATGTATAATTTATATTGTAAAATGTAAATATACAATCAAAAAATTACATGAACCCGATCGATGTACACTAAAATGTATAAGAGTTTTCAAAAGTTTGAGATATTAGGAAAAGAAAAAATTCCCTATCCAATTTTCTAAGACGAAGAGAAAGGAATCCATATAAGACCAGCAGCAATTTCCTGTTTCAATTTTTCAACCCGTTTTCCGCCCCGATAAACCACTAGCGCGTTGGAAAATTTAATCAAGTGCACTCTTCCTTTTCATGTCACATCATCTTTTGTTCTGTTCTTCCATATCTTGTGTGTTTAATCTTTATAGCTGCAGACAACTCGTTACACAAACGGTGTAACGAAGGATAAGAAAATAAAGGAAATCGTTTTGAGGTAAAAAATTACCCCTTTAGCATCAAACCACAATTTGAACCAGTCTCCGATAAGCTTAACAAGTAGGGTAACGACAAAGGAAATTGATCGTTTCCAGTAAATTAACTAGTTGTCCATCCAATTATTGGAATTTACTATCATAACAGTAATTTTCTAAAGTACATATTATAATGGGGATATTTTTTAATAATAATATGTAATAGTACAGTTTAAACTAATACTCGAAGAGAAGCTATTCATCTAATAAACAACTATTTCTGATAAAGCATTGTAGAAAAAATGAAGAATTATAACGATATAAATAAATTTATAATTCTAAAGTTTTTTGACCAAAACAAATCTAAAAATAAAAAGTGTAAAATGAAACATTTGTTGTATCAACAAACATAAAATATCGTTAAACATAATTTCATTTATAATGTAAAACAATATTTTATTTTGAAATATTATGTAGTAAAAAGTAATCATTAGTGGCTTCTTTAAACTGTTCATTGTAATAAATTTATATACATTATAAACGTTAAATGTATGAATGTTATAACGATTAAATATTGAATAACGTTAAATTCAATTTTGAAGTATTGTTAAAATTCATTTAAATGTCGAACAAAAAAAATATCTTAATACTGACTCCTAATAAAAAATTTCAATGCTTATTAAAAAAGTTTTTAATATTATTTAGAACACAGTATATTGGAGAGTATTAAAATATAATAATAAAATAATTTTCCATATCTAAATCTAACAACGGTGGATGGTTGTTAATAGTACTGAACAGTTGTTGTATTTTTTTTTATATTGAATTACTGTGTTAAAATTACAATTAGTCGTGAACAGCACAAAAAAATAATAATCCAGTTACCGTACTTTTGCTGATTAATTGAATTATTACATAACATGAGTGAAAAGAAAGAAATATAATTTTTAGACATTTCTTTATATCATTTCTTTTTTTTAAATGGAAAAAATATTACACCAAAGAATTATTTAATAATATGAACCTCCAGTTGACAACATAATACATCAAACAAACTGTAAACAAAATCTTAGTAATTTAATATTATTCTTATCTATAAAATATGATCGAGATAATTTTGAAATTCATATTTATCAAATAGAATTTAGTTTTTTCCACTATTTTAAAGTAAAGTTATTGCTTTGATTTATATTTATGATAGAAGTATTAAGTAAATATATTTACATAATATGTACAGACAAACAATCGAAAGCCAAAAAAATAAAAACAATACTCAAAGATTCATTGAAAATTAAGTCAACTAGTTTCTACAGTTATGTACTGTAAATTTTAAAGTACTTACTGCTATTTTGGGCAGTGGGCTTTTTATCTCCTTTGCCCATAGCCCTTTCCCTTGAGCGGTTAATCTTGGCTGATTTTTCTTCACCTTCAGTTGTCAAATATTAATCTATAACAAAAATATTGTTTTAAATCTATCATACATATTTTTAAAACTTAATTGACAATTATTAGACTATTTTTATTTTTATTTTATGTATATAAAATTTATTTATTTTATGTTCAATCTATTCAAATCCAGCTAGTAAAATAATAAGTATAAAAATTGGTTATAAGTGAAAAGCAGTTAAGATGAAAGCCATCAAAGTTAGTACAATTTTATAATACTGAAGGTTAAATCTAAAAATGAAAAATGTTAATAATTTATAAATTAATAGAAAAAGTTGTATTCGATTTATTTAAATATTCGATTATTTTTATTTTCTCATCCTCTGTCCCAACTATTTATGATCGGTTTACCATATTAATTTGGTGGGATTTTTAGTTTTTTAAGGTTTTGTATGCGATTTCATAATATTTTTGGTTTCTACAACTATTAACCTAACGAATTCTAGAAAAAAATTTATATAGGCCTACTAACTTACTATACATGATAAACAATTTCAAAAACCATAATTATTTCGGATCCCTTATATAAAAGTTCCCAACCAAAATGTAAATTTAAAACAGACCAATGTATATCTTTTTTTTTTTTTAATTAAAACTATATTAAAAATATTATTAATTTAAAACTAAAAATATTAAAAAAATATGTATGTCTTGTGATAACATTTTAACTATCACTTTATTTTGTTGATCCTATAATTATATTATGTGGTTAAATTACATGGTTTTTAAATGTTACACTGAAAATTAATTCTTTAAAGCTTAGTCACCTTTATAATGAACTAAAATCAATAAAATCATTATTTTATTATTTATTGGTGATGAAATCAAATAAAAGCGAATAACTGTATATTATACGATTTCTATTGGAACAATAATAATACTGATGGTCTAAAAATAAACGAGTACATCACCAGTTATTTACTTTAAGGAACAATTTCTTTATTAGTGGACACCGAAATTCTAACTATTATTTTGATTTCTTATATTTAACTAAAACTGAAAAAATAATAGATTAAATAAATAATAAACTATTCATTATAATATTCAATGTTCGGTAATCCTATTTTAAAAAATCTTTATATTTATAGAGAAAATTAATTAGTGAATTATGAAATTTTAAAATACATTTAATAAAACATAAAACACAGTATTTTAACAAATAATGTTTGAAAAAAACATTAGTGTATTAATATTATAGGACCAAAATTCTTTAAAATATACTTATATCACATTTTAAACTAATTAATTTTTATTTAAATAGATTTGAATTATATACGTATTTGTATCTACATTATTCTCTATTTTACCACCTAATTCATAGTATGGAAATGTACGAATAAAAACCAATATGAAAAAGACAATAGGTGTTCTTTTCATTATATGTAAAAATTTATTTCTGAAAATATTTTTTAAATTTTTTGTGGAAAAATGAATAATGTATTGAAAATTAATTTGCTTTGCAAACTATTATTTCATAGAGACAAATAACATTTAAACGAAAAAAAATTTAATATTTTTGCTTTAAATATTTTATTTTGCATTGTTCTCAAATAAATAACTGCAATAATGAGACAAGGTAATTCTTATTGTTCAACAAGTGTTTCTATGGTAAATCATTTAAATCTCAAATCCTTTTGAACAAGACTCGCCAATCTAATTTTGAAATACCATAGTACCTACATTGTTTTACATTCATCTTTTTCAACTGATTATAAATGCATGTGTTTAATAGTAAAAATATAAATTTAGAGGCATGTTCAAGTAGTTTTTTTACCGCATCAAAATTAAAATTCAATTATACTTGATTAAAATTCTTACTGCAATATAATATAAAGAAATTTAAATAAAAATTAAATTTATTGTTGGCTAACAAATGTTCTCTGAACTTTTTAAGCTTAAAACATATTTTTGATAAATAATTATTTAATTATTTTGTTATAATTACTATAACTGTTTTGATAACATAATCCAAAATTAAATGGCTTGTTGAAATCAAATGCATTTAACGTATACACTGGATTCTTTTTTTTAAATTATTTGCTAAAAAATTGGTGGTATATTTATAAATAGTAAAAAGTTCAACGATGAGGAAAAAGTAAAATTAAAAATATTTAATAATAACATTATAGATTTAAAATTCTTTATATTATGTAAAATATTTAAAAATTCGTGAATTTTTAACCAATGATACTATAGAATATATTGTATAATTTTTTCGCGCTACATGAGAAAACTTATTTTACAATAACTCAAAAACTATTCTACTTTTTACATTTTTTACTTTTATATCGGACTCGGTGGAAGATTTTACTTAAAAAATTACTATCATATGTAATAGTTCAATTTGTTTGTTAACTAGTGTATTATTACTTTATTCAGTATAATTCACTAAATTCTTTAATTTGAAGTTTTTTTTATTTTGCATGATTACATTACAATTGATGAAATCAATAAGCACAAAAAAAAACTGGAAATATTTTCAGTTGCCATTACAAGTATTTCTCATTCATGTAATAATGAATAGATCTATAGGACCTGTTAAAAGTATTAAATACTTTTATAAATTTTGTACACTGAACAACTTTTCAAATGTAAAATATATACATTGTTGACATATATCTCTAGAACAATTGTTGTGTGACAGGCAGATTTAAAGAAGCGTTTGAGTGCATTTAGCTTTTGATATTTATATTCCTAAATAGTGACACTACATTCAAATTCTTTCTGTTATAATTCTTGTGAGAGATTTCATACTTAGAATGATTAATTATATAAACTAAATTTTATTAATCCCAATAACTTCAATTATATAGTAAAAATGATCATTTAAAAATATTAAATTAAAACTAATAAATATTTAATTCGAAATACCACGAAAAATTGTTAAAAATTGTATTAACAACGATTAACACATACTGAAATTGTTATCGATCGGTAACAATATTGATCTACGATTTTAAGTAATTTTTTGTGGCTTTTTGAGATAAATATTTTTAAAATTTTTAGTTTTAAATTAATATTTTTGGTATAGTTTTGTACCAATACCTTGAATAATGAATTAAATTCAAAAAAATATATTGACCGAAATGTTAATATTTAAAATATTAATAAAAAAAAATTGTAATAATGCTTTCAATTTTTAAAAAGTTATTTTAATATAATGTGAAAATTATAATCATTAACATTGACAGTATATAACCGTAATTTTTTGGGGCATTTCCTTTAATTACGGGGATAAAGATAATTTTGAAAAATTATAGTGCTAATAGCTTCAATTAAATATGTTTTGAGATATTTCGACGTATAGTTTATCATTATCGTCCTGAAAAAATGTATTAAAATATACAAAAGTATTCATGTATCAGATATAAAGAAAAAAAACATAAAAAGCATAATAGTTTTACAGCTGCGTATCGATCCTAAAAATAAGTAAATTTTATGAATTTTCAAAAACTTACGAAAAGTTATAAGTTATAAGATAAGATATCTTCTTCGATATCAAAATAAAAAAATGTTCACTACCAAATATCACCTGTACTATAAATGAAATTTAATCCAAAATTTCTTATTAATATACCATATTTCAGTTTTCCTGGATCTTTCTTATATTAAGAAAATTCATCTTGCAAATAACCTTGAGTATATGAAATATAAAGTCATTACTTTTATTCAATGAACAATGAGTTTCATATTTTCAAAATAATGAATTTATGATATGCAAACATCCATTTTTCGTAATTAAGTATTCTATTGACATTGACGGCTAAGTAGCAAATAAGCAAAATGTTTAAGTCAAATTTTATGAGTTTATTTATGATAAAATATAATTTATTGGTATTAATCGAGACAAAAGTAGATATTTAAATGTAAAATAAAATATGAATATAAATTTATACTTCGTACCGTCGAAGGGGTTGACGTTTTTACCGTTCAACAATATTGCGTTTTTAAGTTGAACCTATTATATCATTTTATTAATATAAGACGTTGTTAAAACATACAATATTGTCATAAAATTAAAATTTATTGATACAGAATATGAGTTGAAATTTAATATTTTGTAAATGTGTAATATCTTAAGCGAATATTTTGTTAAATACTTTGTATTAAGTACATTTATCAATATTGAGACATTACTTCAGTTATTAAGTCGATTTTTCTTTCATATTAATTGAAAACTGCTTTGTTATTATTTGAATAGTTATTAATACGTTGTACCAAGAAAATAACTTGTTAGCTTCGATAGAGAGGTATTAGTTTTGTGATGGTGTGTGTTATATTTTATGTCTGTCTATAAATATTCTCAGCTTCCACTGGACTGATTTTAATGATCAATACGTTAATAGAATCCGAATGTCATCTTATTGAACTTTTCAAAGTTTTGAAAAGATCTCTTAATTTTAGAATTTTAAGATAATATCTCAAAATCATGTTACTTTAAAAATTACATTTTCAAAATTAATTTTTTTTCTGCATTTTAAAACTGATCAATTTTTTTTAAATTCTAATTCTAATAGAATTGTAATGTAATATATAAAGAAGACAATGAGTTTTTTTTTGGTATGACTTTTATGAAAATTCTATAAAAATTCTAAGTACAGGAAGAGTTTGGGAACGACCACTTACGAATGTAAAACAATTTTTTAACACAATTTTTGAAAATGTGTCGGAACATTTGACATAATTAAATTTATATCAAATTTAAGTTTTTGAAGTACACATTAATGTTAAAAAAAATTTGTCCCAGAGATTATTGTAATATGAAAAATCGGACGTCAAGCAAAAACATTACGTTATTTTTAATTAAGCAAATGATTTAATAAACATTCAATATTTTAGTGAAGTTTAACATTTTCTTTTTAAATTTCTGTGTCTTAATTACTACACAAAATTATTGATATCAATTTTATAATAAATTTAATTACTATAATAAGTATTTATTGGTGTATCATAATTATAAATAATAAAAATTGTAATAAGGATATAATTCAATAAACAGGAGTTGATGATTTTATAAGAATAATCCAACAATTTCTTTTAAAAATTAAACACTAACTACAAATTAGTATCAAAGTATTTCTTATGATAGTGATTTTAATCACTATCAGATATAATTTATACTTGACTAACTATGCCGCTATCCCACTGTGCTGAGTTTTTTTTAATATCGAAATAATAGAACGGTTTAATTATAGCGTGTTAAAGTATAAACCGACAATCGCATGCGTGTATACTTTTATGTTATAATGAAAAATAGAGTAAGATAGGGACGAAATGGTAAAATAAGGCAAGCAAGTAGTGGTTATCATAAAATGTGTATAATATACACATTTAATGCAATATATGCTCTGTATATAGTATGCTAAGAAAGCAATTTCAGTTTTGAAATAATTTTCAAGAATTGAAAAGGTGAAAGGTTCTGTGACACGCCGACTGGAAAACATTCGTACTTAAGTTGATACTTATGGTTAATTTGATTTCACCTCGGAATTATAATTAAATTTAATTCTCCTTTTGTTCCATACGAATATGTTTCTACTTCTTTGAAATAACCCCATGTTTCTCGAAGTAATAAGTGCAATATATTATTAATGTAACTATAGTAATATTTTCGTTGTTATTCACTCACTTAGAGTGCAGCAACGTGCCGCTTCTGTCACCGGTAACCACTGCTTGGAGTTGTTATCGATTTTACATGTTCTCGTTCCCGTGCAGAATACTGATTTCTCGACTGGTTTTATTTTTTCTTGATATCAAATCTAAAAAAATAAAACAAGAGTAAAATTATTATTTGACATAATTAAATTACCTCTTTTTCGTATAAATATTGTAACGTTATCAATACAAATTTTTGCGACTGTTGCTTTTGCGACATTATAATACACTCGATTATTTTCATGCATTTAATTTTTGTTCAAAAATATTCGCAATAAATTTACATTTTCGTTATACGTGATATGTTAATTATTGTACAAACTATGTGCTATGAATTTTATTTTCAGTATTTTGATCTATACCGTCCCAACATAGTTAAACATAATTTTGATTTTATTACGCAAAATCATGTGAACTTTTCAATAATATATTTTTATTTGTCGGTAAGCAATTAATCCTTTTTCACCATTAAAATACCATAATGGTATTGTATCAAATTATAGAATACTCTTCCATCATCTCGAGGGAAAATAATAACTCTTTAATATTTTTTTACAGGGAATTCATATATTTTTGCTGCGTGTTCACACGCTGCCTTTTAAAATAAGTATTAAATTATAACCCTTGGTAACGATCGCGTGTGTTTGTGATGTGAGACAATGAAATGAATATTACATATGCTTGGCCAGCACTAAAAAAGAACATATGGGTCGCTAGTTTCGCATGGGGCAATGTAACTCTCACCGCTACTACTTTGTTTATTTCCACTTACCCAAAGGACAAACAAGTTGCCTCCATTTTATTTAAATCCTTAAACGTTAATTTGTCTAAGTTGGTTAGTTTATTATTAAAACACTCAAATGTGAGTACATACGAATAATAATAGTATGAGCAAAATATATTAAAATATAAATTACTATTTACCAATACATTCAAAATACTTCAACTTGCCATTTTGCAACAATGACAGTTTGCATACTTTTTATCAATGTTGCATAAATAGTTTTCTATTTACTGAAAATTTCGTAAAAGTTAAAAAGTTTGATAATATTCTTTCTGTTTCATACTGTATTGTAAGTAAAATCTTTTGTACTTTTAAAATCGGTGGAATTATAATACTAATAAAATAAGTTTAATTTTGTAATTCAATGGTGCGTGTAATATTAATTTAATAACTTGAAAACAAATTTATAACAATGCGGCTGACCACTAAGGAAGTAAAAATATTACCGACTAATTTTAAAGAATTAAGACTAAGAATAAAGAATTAAGAATATATAACAGAAGTTATCTAAAATAAATGAAAAAAAACTGTGGTTTAATTTAAAAAATAAAAATGTCTTTGTTAGCTTTAACTAATTTAACGAGATAATTTTTTTTATCATTACTCAGCTTATTGGTCTAACGGAATATTATTTTTATATAAAATACAATAATAAAATATCTCGTAAGACTTTTCCGACCGTAAAAATAGCTTATTTAGGCTTATAAAATAAATATTCTTGATAAATCGTGTCGTATATTTGTTTTGTAATTTTAAAAAATAGATAATATTGACATGGAATCTTATGGTATTTTATATCTGTGTGTGTGTGCTATATGATACCGCATTAAAACATAAATAGATCAAAAAGGTATTACAGGCAAACTTTGTTATCATTGTCAGTGAAATTCTTTAAGTATTTTTTTGTCACAGTCCTATAAAATTTCTTCCTGCTAACAGCTTGTTGTTAGTATTGACTCTTTTGTGTACAAGTTATGTGTATACCATATTGTACGAAATGTAACTTACTCAATCATCAGACGATATGCTTTGAGTTTACGCTATAAAAAAGTCTATGGAAAATGAGAAATTTGCGAAAGATGGAAAAAACAAGTATGGTACATTCTGATCACGTATTCGTGTTATCGTTGCGCATTTGTATGTAGCTTTTCTCGAGTTTTTCCGGTCACCGAAAATCTTACGCTTCTCCAAACAGCAACGTCTATAGCAATTGTTCAATATTCTTGTGGCTTACCTAATGTTACCTTTGTCTCAATAGTAGTCCAGCTTATCGACAATATATTCATGTTTGACTTACATTAACACTAAAGAGCATTTTCAATTGTTTTTCCTTTTAAAAACCAATACTACAACACATAGTCTGATGTAGTTTTAAGTTCTCCCGACTATCATAAAATTGTTTAAAACGTATAATTCACCTAAAACGAGTATTTGTTTTCAAAGGATATATTTCTAAATTATTTACCGCGACCAAATTCAACATTTTCAAAGTATACAGTCAAAAATATGTCGGTTTCTACATAAGGTATAATCTTTAAAGTTAAAAAATCACTTATTGAAACACGCTACTGAATTGAGTTAAACACGTTAAGCATCAAAAAATATTGAAATTAACGAAACCATTTTAATTATTCATATTGACAATATATCACAATACAATTCAAACAAGCGGTTGTGCAAGACTTCAATTGTCTGGACGGTGGACTTAACTGAGTGTTACTTTATTTTATTAAAAGACGTTTTGAGCAAAAATTCTCATTATGTTTGCAGTCGGAGGCAAGTGGCTACGAATCACTGCACTGCAGAACATTAAACAGACACTAAAATACTAGAGATGATCATAAAAACTATGAAGTATATAAAATAAATTGTCTCGGAAAGTGTAATAATAAAACCGTACATCGATAATAACGTAAACCGTCATATTGGTTAGTTGGTTATTGTTGTCCCAGGTGCTTACTCGAATATAGACTGCCTCTCTTGGAGTCTAAGACATCGTTGTTTGGAAAATAATACCCATTTATATTCCTTTTTACAGTTGGATTGGTTCTGTTCTTTAAAAACGGCGCCGATAATACAATATTAAATAATTCTTGCATTTATCGACGATGCCATAAAGTCAAACAAACACATAGTTACAACAGCTAACAATGGTGTTATGTCGGCAGGAACAAGAGTAATAAATGTATAGTATCATTGAGAGTTACATTTTTTGTAGCATGCAAAAGTTATCTTCAGATTAATTTCGTACATTTTTAATTGCGCACACCATTATAACTATTAAAAATACTTGTATAACTTATCAAAAATATAAATATATTTTAATAGTTTCGTTGTAAGAAAATTTAATGACTTTGTTATTATAACATTTCACACGAAATGTCTGAACTGAATTATATAGCTAATATTAAATAATGGAACTAATTAATGGAAAAATATTATTGTCTTTGTAGTGATGGAGCAGGTACTCGGAAGTGTATTTTTGGTAATTTTTGAAATGGTTAAATGAAACAATGGAGACCTCTTGGGCTGAAATGGAGCTTGACAACACGAAGATTCTTTAACGCTTTTTTTCAACATTAAATTTAAGGGGTTTCCCAATTATTTCCGCGTTTAAAGTAAACGAAGAAACTACGACGACGGGCTTGCTTTTGTAATTAAAAAAGTTTGAATTCGCATGCTTCAACCATCTCGTAGAAAGCTAGTTGCTACACAGTTTGTTAGTCGTGTACCCGGTCAAACAGCCGGTCGGTTTCACCTCCACTAGCTATGCTTACTAAATAATTAATATAATACTTTAATAAGTTGTATAATTTATGGAACTATTACAACGCAACATCAGCAACCTTGTTTCATTTTAGCTTGTTTATAATATAAGTATGAAAGAAAATAACAAAACGCTCGGCTCAGAAATGTTCGACTTTAATGACTTATTACTTAGGGTGACTAGGCATACTCTTTTACGAGGATTTGTCCTCTTATTGTGGACGTCGTCCTAATCCGGTCTCGTTGTCATAATGTTTTTTTTTATATACTTATTAAAAAACGGTTTTTAGCTTCGATGCGAAGCTGAGAAGGTATTGGTTTTACTAAGATGTGTTTTTTTTTTTTTTGTGTCTGTTACCACTTTTTCTCAGCTCTCACCGAACCGATTTCTTTCAATGATACGTCAAAAGATCATAAATCGTATCTAGTCGAAGACATTGCCCTTAAAAATTGAAAAAAATTCCCTCGTTCCCCGTAAAAGGGGGAAACCTCCAAAAAAATTACAAATTTAAAAATCGCTAATTTTCGAAATTTTTTCAATTTTTTTTACTTAAAAGTGGCATAACTTTTTCAAAAATAAACATATCAATATAATTCTTTTTTATATAGATGCATAATATCATTACCTTTCATTTGGTATATTTTTTTCATAAATTTAACCCTTAACCTGCCCACAAGGGGGGATTTAAAATGACAACTTTTTCACAAAAAATT